TAAGTTATCCCTTTGGGACACTGGCCTAATGCACTACGTTTCTTCTACTAAAATGTCAAGTCTGCATTTATTACAGTAATTATCCACTACACAAATATATAGACTGAACATTGATTCTGAGATCATACACTAATCTAATATAACTACTGAGCCAAATAACAGCATCAATTTTTCACATAGTTGCAAAGCCAAATTTGCTGTTCAGATACTGAAAGGCATCCTGTATTCTGGTAAAGAGTTGACTCTGTAATTTAGACCAGTTGATTTTCTTCTGTGGGAAGAGATGGAATAAAACGTGTAACTTTATAGTAATTCATGAAATGAGAGCTGAATGGCAATCATTTGCTTAGCATGTTTTCAAAATGAGAGTGATTGAAACATCATATGTAATATTGGGCAAGGTGTAGAAATTCTCACAACCGTTGATTCGAAAACACACCAATACAGAAAAAGTTTCTAATCTGCAATGCACATAGCTGCAAGTAGAAATTATCTTGTCCCACAGCCTTTGAATGTGGCCTATGCAAAGAAAGTTCCTAAATATTCTAATTTTGCCTGATTTGAGTTCAGCCCAGGCAAGACCTTTTCCCTGGTGACCGCTCACTTTGCCTTCCTATCTCAGTTATTACTCCTAAGGATGTGCTCTGTGTTCTAGAATTGCCTTACCAGAATTGGCTTCTAAAGTTGGGCTGTCAGTTTGCTGCTTTTATTATGATTTTTAAAATATGGTTTTATTATTATTATTAAGGTGTTATACAGAGAGGTTACTATTTCTATTGTTTTTTTTTAAATATGTCTGCCTTGATCCTTAGCTGTCTGAGATTCATTATGTGCTAAGCAGTTGCTGTTTTTTTGTTCTGTTTTTTGTTTTGTTTTGTCAGTCATGGGGTCTAAACTCTGGGCCTGGACACTGTCCCTCAGCTCTTCAGCTCAAGACTAGTGCTCTACCACTTGAGCCACAGTGCAATTTCTGCCTTTTTCTGCTTATGTAGTGCTGAGGAATTGAACCCAGGGCCTTATGCATGCAAGGCAAGCACTCTACCACTGAGCTACCATCTCAGCCCCCAGTTTATTTTCTTAGAGTAAAATTGTTTCCACAGGTACTAAGTTTATACATCTACTTCTCAGTTAAGGTATAACCACCAAGAAAAACATGTGAGACTGCTACCTATCTGTGTTTGACCCATGAGCTTGTGTCTGAATTGTCTTTGAGGTCCTTTCTTTCATATCATACATCCATGTATCCCACAAAACTATTCTGGAAATATAAATGAAACAAATCTTTTAACCTTTTCCTGTTTGTCTTGTGAATGTATCTGTTGCTGTTTGTCATTACTCCTCTATAAAAAGGACCACAATTCACTGTTTATTACTAAAAATGAGTCTGTGTTCAGATAAAGGAATATGATTATTAAAGGAAATCACATGAATCTCAAAACAACTTTCCAAATTTTCTCTTTGGAATATACTCAGGCTAGGCAGTTTAAAAAGCTCGTGTACAGAATTATTGGAAAAAAGTGCTATTTTTATGTGTAGCACCAAAACTCCAGATATAAGCCAAATGCTATAATGAAGGCAGAAATAAAGCATTAAGATTCAAATTTACACAGGAATTTAAAAGATTTTTGTTTTAGATTTGACCTGAAGAGACCTCTGTGTTGTTAAAAAATAAAAATTACTACAATTCTTGGTAAGAAATGTACTCATTATCTTGTCCATGGAATTGTAACTGCTCTGTACAGTATTTTCACAATAAAAAAATGAAAAAAATAAAAATTACAGGGCAACAATTATGGCATTATTTTATTTGTCTGTCATGGGTCTTGAACTCTGGGCCTGGGCACTGTCCCTGAACTCTTCAGCTCAAAGCGAGCACTCTACCACTTGAGCCACAGTGCCACTTCTGGTTTTCTGGTGGTTAGTTGGAGATAAGAGTCTCACAGACTTTCCTTGCCTGGGCTGGCTTTGAACTAGGATCCTCAGATCTCAGCCTCCTGAGGAGCTAGGATTACAGGTGTGAGCTACTGGTGCCATGCTGTTTTAAGAGAAAACAAACCTATGTGTAAGTGACATATAGGAATGTATGCATAGAAAAAATGTGGAACAACATCTAAAACTTAAAACAAAGCAACATGTAAATATATATATGAATGCATACATGGAGAAAAATGGGGGGAAAACACACTTAACACTGTTAATATTGGAGCCCTTTGTGAGAGGTAACTGAAAGAAGTTGGTGAAAAGATTTGCAATTTTTCCTAATATACCTCTGGATTCTTTAATTTATTTAAAAGAACATACATTACTTTTATCATAAGAATTCAATACTATATAATACTAAATAAAAGGTAGTGAAGGCAACGTCTAAAATAGGAGTCATTTAATCAATCCTCCTTTGTGTTTATGCATCAATTATCCATTTTTTTCAGCTCTGTCCTTAAACCAGCTGCTCTCTGAATTGTTCCTGTTCTTTGTGTATACATGATCCCTCAAGTGATATAATTTTATAATATAAAAATTGATGAATTTTATATTCCTATCTGTTTCTTCATTTTTACGTCCTTTTTACTTCTTCATTTTTATACAGACTAGAATGTATATTATTAAAGTAACCCCAGTAGTGCCTTCTCAGAGGGGCTTAAACTCAAAGACAGGTGCACAGATTAATTAGAACAAAAGACCTTTAGGATTTCATGCCTACCAGGCAAAAAAAGTGATCCCCATGGATCAACCTCTGAAGAAAACAGAAACCAAGAAGTACTTTACCTACCTGGTTACAACAATAAATTTGTTATGTAGGCACAGTTTCTAAAGGAGGACAGTGTCTTACTCATTTACTAAAACTCACTTCTGAATAATAGAAGTGTGTGTGTGTGTGTGTGTGTGTGTGTGTGTGTGTGTGTGTGTGGTGATGGTGGTTCTAGTGATATTTACAGAGTTTGGATTCAGGGCCAAAGCTTTCAGCTTCTTGCTCACAACTGGCACTCTATCTATCACTTGAGCCTTATCTCCAGTCCAGCTTTTTTACTGTTTAATTGAAGATTCAAGTATACTGGACTTTTCTGCCTAAAGTGCAATCACAGTCTCCTGAGTAGCTAGCCTTACAGGTATGAGCCATTAGAATTTGATTTATTGAGTTCTTTTAAAGAGTGAATCTTGTGTTCTATATATTTGGGACTATATATGTTAAGGTAGATGTGACTTAATTTCTTCTTTATTACCTGTAGTTTGCTAGGCAAGTCTAGAGATGTTTTGTTCAACTGCCAAAAGAAGTTGTTAGAAGTGACTCTCCTTCTTGTGAAGTTGTCATACTTGACTCTTTTGAGATTTATTCGTTTGAACATGCAGTGGTGGCTTCAACCCCCTTTGTCCTTGGCTTTCAGAATATTGATCACTGAAATGGAAAAGCTATGAACACACTGATCACTCCAATACTGCAATGGTTGTTATTCAGAATAAAAATAGGTAAGGAGCTATCATACTGGCTTTTTTTGCCTCCAGAGTTGAGCAAAATGGGGAGTAATCAATAGAATATTTTGTTCCAACTCTATATTGATTTATTTTATCATTTCTCATTCACATTTTACTCAACAGGAAAGTATCCTGAGTCTAATAGACATAGATATGATAAAGAGGTAAGGGAAAGGATTATTGATAATAATGATTTATTGACCACTGTAATGTGTCAGACATGGTGCTCAAAACCTTTTTGAGTATGGGAAGGGATGGGAAGGGGAAACAAAGAGGAAGCAACAATGCTTGATAAGAAATGTACTCGTTATCTTGCCCATGTAATTGTAACTCCTCTGTACGGTATTCTCACAATAAAAAAAAAAAAACCTTTTTGAGATCTTTCTAAAATTTCCCCACAAATATAAGGCTTATCCTATAATTATTACTTAGAAATAAAGAGACTGAGAAACAGAAAGCTCTCTGTCTAGTTAGTGGCAGAGCTGTTCCAGGCTATTTATAAATACAGTCTCTATTTATATCTTGAATCCTGGAGTAATTATTAATGGTTTCTTTTCCACCTTAAAAGTGACATAAACAGCTGGGCATTGGTGGTCCAGGTGCTAGTGGCTCATACCTGTAATCCTAGTTACTCAGAAGGCTGCAATCTGAGGATTGAGGTTTGAAGTCGGCATGGGCATATAAATCTATAAGATTATTTCCAGTTAACCAGTAAAAAGCCAGAAGTAGAGCTGTAGCTCAAGAAGTAGAGATAGAGCCTTGAGCAAAAAGCCAATCAATAGCACAAGGCCCTAAGTTCAAATCCATGTGTACACACTTGTAAAAGCAAACTAAACAAATTATATGATTATTCTTTCTCAAGGTTTCTTAGTCTTCACACTATGGACATTTGGACCTAGAAATTATTTGCTGTCAGGGGCTATCCACTGTATTGTAGGGTGTAACAGCATTCCTGAACTCTACCCAATAAATGCCAGAGTAGCATCCAGAAATAGACAAATGTCCCCTAAGGACAACATTCCTCCATGCTGAGAACCATTGTATAAAGCCTATGTTCAAAAAAATTAACTACAGAAGGACAATCTAATCTATTTGTTACAGAACATGTACTATGAACTGAACCTTTCCAGTAGAGTGATTGGCATATACTCTGTACTCAATAAAAGTTAATTTCTTGGAGGCATTATTTTACTTTACAGTTGTACAGAAGTGCAACAGCTAAAGAAGGTAATGAACAAGATGACGATAAGAGCTCTGGTGATAAAAATTAGTTTTCTGAGATTATTAAAGACTAGAACAGTGTACTTGGAAATAACTGCAACCTCTTAGCTGCCAATTTAGCAATAATGGAGACAGTTTGATTTTTGATTCCTTTGATGTTTTGCCTTAGTGATGAACATAAAAACCAGGGTGACAGGCAGAGATTGACACAGTAAGTTTCATATTGCAGCAATCTTCTTTTGTAGTAATAGCTAATGATAATCCATGTTCTATTTTCTTCTACTCTACTTAGAAATGACCACCATTGCTTTCATACCACCATTTTCCATTTATTAGCAATAACAGAGGAAATACCAATAGCACCAATTAAAAATGAATCCACATGACGTGTTTTATCCTTACAGCTGTAATAACTAGTAACTAACATGGATTGGAAAGCACTTCTGCAAATTTAAAAAGTGCTGAACAGATACATTATAATTATCATCATTAATAAATTAGCCCGATTCTCCTAGTTCAAAAGGCACGTAAGGTCAGTTACATGGGCTTCAGTGGGGCAAAAATGATTACAACCTACAATGTAGCAATGATTCACATGTGTTTGCAACAAGTTTTACCCCATGCAATCCTGCAGAGCTGAAGTTACACACCCTTCAAAATATGGGAGAATGAAGCTAGAAGTAGACAAGACACTTTTTTTGAGATTTAATGCCTTTTTTTATAACAGACTCCTACCTCTTTTATATTAACTTTTAAATAGATAATACAATTAAGCAAACTTCTAAACTGTGCATAACAAAATTAAAATGCCTTATTTAAGATGACAATAAATTTTATTATTTCCCATGAGCTGATATTCCAGACAGCATTCGAATTTCAAAGTTTCCTATAACTTCCAAGAGGTCAGATTCATAAAATTTGTGCTTGAACACCCTCAGGGAATATCTTCAGTACTTATTCCAGAATTGTTTCTAGAAAAAAAGCTCTATTCATCCTCTTGCCAACAGGAGTCTTGGCAAGAGACAGCTCTTGGCTGACCACAAATAAAATTCCTTGAATCACCATATCTTGATTTAAGAAAGAAATTTTACTGTGTCTTTCATACACAAAAGCTGATTAACAATGGTTAAAAAAACACTACTCCACTTTTCCACAGGTGTACAAAAGGAAGTATAATGGGATTACATTCAACAATAAAGCTTAAAGTTCACTCTAGGTAATAGTTGCATTAACATTCACATACACAAGCACAGAGTAAGTATATTTCAGGAGTCTTATAATAGCATACAGCATACATATGGGAGATTGATTTCAGGTAACATCATAGGTGTTAGTAAGATTAGCAATTCAGAGTGTTATGAAAAAGGAAATCTAAATCAAAGAGAAGGTGTAGGCTAGCACACCAAGACAAGTCACAGAATTAGAGGACTGAAAAGTCTGCTCACTGTATGGATGAGAAAACAGTATTTTTTCTTCAATTTCTGGGTCTTGATATTATAGTTGAGAGAAGTTTGTGTATTCAAAGTGCACATCATTTTTCTTAGAAAAGAGAGAGAGAAAGATTCTTTTATTAGTAATTAATACATGCAAGAGGGAGCCCCAGAGTGACCTGAAAGAGTAAAGCTGTGATTGGCAGGTAGCCGGTATAATACAGATGTTCCAGGCAATTCTCTTAAAGCACTTCAGTAGCAGCAATGATCATTTCAATGGCTGTAGACTGAATTCTCTTTTGAGGGACGTTCAGGGGAATTGTATTCATCATATTTCTCTTTAGAGATTTATAGCTATAAACTTTCTCTTTTTTTTAAATAAATCTATCAAACAACAAACAGCATAAAGTGAGGTGTTGGGTTTTTTTCCTTTTGCTTTTGCATATGTATTGTTGGAAAAGGAGCTTGCCTTTTCATAAACATTGTGTGCAAAAGAATGTTTAATAAAGTGAGCACAGGACATGTACAGGAAACACATCAGAACTGCTTCAGTTGCCCCTGGCTGGCCTTCTGTTAAACACTGAGCTGTTGGTTCGCATTACATGGTTTTAGGTACAACGATACCACAGCCAACAGACTTTAGGGACTCCTAAAGCCTTGTCAGTGGAGATAGTTTTGTCTGATAGAGGATGATCATCACCTCTTGAGTTGTAAGATTTAGAAAGTCTGGTCCTTCTTTGAGTTGTTTCCTTTTCCCCTCCAGAATGATGATTTCCCTTTGTTCCCCAGCCATTCTTGAGCAAACTAGTCTAACCAGGCCCATTCCAGCCCACATTTGGCCCTCAAACATTTGTTGTGGCTACATCATAGCAACTGGCCACAAACAATCTGAAAACCTTTGAACCTGCACTGCAAGTGCCATCAAGACAGGATCCCCAGAGCTCAGGGAAGAGAGTCCAACTTCCACTGACAGGGCTGGGAGGCCTTTTTTTTTTTTTTTTTTGCGTTGGAGAAGAAAGGAAACTTGGGTCTGCTTTTGAAGTTCCGACAACAAGCCAGAGTGGAGAGCGAGAGAGTTAACACCAGACTTAGGAAAGCTTTTAAGACAAAACCTGTTATTTGTGACCTAGACAGACACAGGGAACTTCCTGCAGATTTCTGAGGTCTCTAAGAGGGCTCATGTGGGTAGGAGAAAGGAGCAGGGAATTGCTACATGGGAGAGATTTGCCATTATTACAAAAACTGGCTAAGTGGCTTATTTCCATTTGATGACCTCACTGGTCACTGTTGTCAGTCGTGCTGTTCCCTTTCTCTTTTTTCTCCTGGGTCTTGTTACCCTTCTTCTTTTTCTTCTTTTTCTTGGTCTCCTCCTTTTTGCCGAAGGTTATGAAGTCACTTTTGTCAATTTGGTTGTTAGAAGGCTCCTGCCGGATGGAGATGATTGCAGGAGATCCTGGGATAATGAATTTGTCTGGCAACTCACCGGGACCGGATTGTTTGGGGTTGCCTGGTCCATATTTAAAGGTCCAGCTGTTGCTGTTGACACCGGCACCAACTGGAGGGGACACCTCTCCTGCTTCTGGTTCTGAAAAACAAAACATCACAAATATATAACAGAGTCGATGTAGAATATTTAAGAGGCTGTCCAGACAGCCATGTCCCAAAGAAACCATGAGATATAGCATAGCAATGATTTAAAGAAGAAGTCAGAGCTGGAGAGAAAGAGTAATGGTTTGCCTGGGGAAAGAGATCCCATTGGCAATGACATTGACACCCTCTGACCTTACAGCAGCATTTATGTATCTGACACTAATCCTCAAATAGCATTTATGTTCTGTTATAGTTTGATATTGTCTGGGTCTGCTCTTTTCATGCCTTAGTTCCTATACTACCAGTCTCTTCTAGTTTAGTGTTCTTGACCACTAATTTTTGTTTGATTTTTCTTAACACTGTTCACATAAGCTGCACTATACTATTTCCAAAACCAATGATCACATTTTAATCCTCATCTTATTAATTTCTTTAGGAGCATGAGTCATTTCCTCTTGAAACACCTATTCATGCATTGTTTATCATGTAGTAGAACCTCCACATTTTTTTTAGTTCAAATGAACCCCTGTTACAAAGGATAGATAACAAGAGTAAACAAATAGAAGCTTCATAACACTTACATTTCATACATACATAAAACACACGGAGGGAAGGACTAGTTCCCAAAGAGGTGGCTTTGAATTCTAGCTGAAAGTATTTGACAGACAAAAAAAAAAAAGGACTTTGAGTACCACGGGCAGCAACTTACAGTAAGATCAATAAATGCCACACAAAGACTAGTTAAGGATTTTACTATAGAATCTTTTGGTACTATCCCCGGGCTGTTTCAAACTGTCTTCTATGGTTAAACTTTGTTCCGCTTGGTAGATACAGGTAAAGATACATTTTCTTTGAAAATCTAAATTCAGCCTTTAGGCAAACAGAAGAGCAAAGAGGTTTCTTGTACTTGCTTCTTCTTAGTTGCCTTCAACTTAACCTTCCTATGTTTTGTAGAGGCGTCTTCTGCTTCCCCACAGCCCAAATATCTTCCTGACCTTTCTTTCTGGTTATTATCTCTATCAACATGTTGACACTTTGTTGGGTTTATACCGTAACTCTCCTCAGCTTTCTCTACATTCTCTTCTTTGTGATTTTTCACCCATGTTCCTGGGTATAAATATCCACATTTTCAGTTCTTAGGAGGAAAGGCAGGAAGATCTTGAGTTCAAGGCCAACCTGGGCTACAATGAGATTCTGTCTAAAAATAAATATTCAGAAGTTGGGCACCAATGGCTGATGCCTGTAATCCTTGCTATTCAAGAGGCTGAGATATGAGAATTATGACTCAAAGCCAGTCCAGGTAAGAAAGTCCATGAGACTCATCTCCAACGAACCAGCAAAAAAGCCATGTAGAACACTAACCTTAAGCAAAAATGCTCAGGGATAGACCAGTGCCCTAAGTTCAAGACACAGGACTGGGAAAAAATGTATATTAAAATATGCTAACAAGAACAGATTTCTATTTAGAATCCATATCTCTCTGTGTTCCAATCTCATGCTTACCTGGTATCTCTACTTGGAAATTTTAGGGAAATCACAAACTGAGGGAATCTGAAATGCAGGTTTGATTTCCTTTCACCTATTCTTTTCTAAATCTTTCTAGTCTCAGTAAATGTATCCCACTTACTCCACTACTTAAGCCAGGAAGGTCAGAGCTGTATTCTCCATTTTTCTTTCTTCTCCATTCTCCATTTATAACATTACCAAAATCTGTCATTTTGATCTTGATTCCTTTCCTCTTCTTTTCCATTCTTTTCAGGTCATTATCTCATATAAATTACAGCAATAGCTTCCTTCATGCACAATCTGTTTCTGCTTTTCTCTAATCTTCCACCCAGTCGTTTTTAAAGTCATTCTCCCTTTTTAAAAATGGAAGTATGGTGTACATATAGTAATATCCTTTAAAAATAACATCAGATTAGATCATCTTCATGCTTCAAATGATGCAAAGGCTTTCTACTGCCTTAGAAAAGTCAAACTCTATTAAACTATTTAAGTTCTTTTAAGAAATCTAATGGTTTTATTCTCCAAATCTACAAGTCTTCCTCTTACCACTATAATCCAGCTACACAGGTATTTTTCAGTTCCTCAAAAATTGCTTGGAGTTGCTTTCTCTCATAATATAATAATATAATGCTCAGATTCTTCAAGTCTGTGCATGAATGTAATTTCCTCAGAGGGGCATTCTATGACTACAGTAGTCCCTTCCCCCAGTAATATCTAACACTCTAAGATCTACCAAAGCAATATAGGTTTCTATTTATTCACTATTGTGTGACCAATGCCTAGCACAATTGCTGTCCTACTGCTTATGTAAATATTTGCTGGGTGGATGAATAAAGATACTGCTGTGAAAAGTGGAAATGGTACCTCTTCAGCAGTTCCAACAACTCTCTACAGATGGTACTTTTGGAGTCCCTAAAGTCAGTGAGGTAATGCATATAAAGTGCTAAACCCGATCCTTAGCACAATGGAAGAGCTCCATAAATGGTATCACATATGGCTAACTATATATGGCACAGCTCTTGGGACTAAGAGGGTCAGATACTGTAAATTTACTGTAAGCACAGGGAGAGGAAGTAAGTTTCTTCTCCCCACCAAACTCCTTCCCTTATACCATATCTGCCCTGGCAGAGTTGACTTGATCACATTATCAAGATGGGGCAAGGGGTATTTTTTTTCTCTGAGGCTAGGTAATTGGTTTCAGTTGTCTAAGATAATCAAATCTTTCATTAAATTCAGCTGAAATCTACCTGTTAACCTTTCAGATAAAAGCTCTGTTTTTGAAAGACAGAGATGAAAGCAACACATTTAAAAACAATTTTAAAGCCTCTAATGTGGGACCTAGAATTGGGTTTCAGAACCACCCCTTAAGTCTAAACTGAGTGAGTTTGTTTTTTTCCAATCATAGCCGGGACTCCATTACAGGAGGCCTCAGGGCTGTCATCTAGAGAAGCAGAGCCCAGAGATCCACTCATTTGTGGAGTTAGAGGACATTTTAGCTATGTCTATTGACATAGTGGCCTCTTCACGTCAGGACTACAAAGAGCTAATCAACTTCTTTACACTGAGCTTCCCAGGCCTAGGCCAGGGTTCTTAGGTCTGTGACTGCCAAACTTCCAAGAAGCAATCAGAGGTCTATTCAGGTGCATCATCCATGTATTCAGCGTTTACAGAGCATAACAAAAGGTGGTTTCTCAAATCCCTCCCACCTTAAGTGCCGTGAGGTGCCTAACCTCAGGTTGTGGTGGAAGCAAAACATCTGTAATGGCTGAGGAGTATCTGCCCTCTTACAGAGGTGAAAAGATAGCTTAAGGATCTGATAAACAACATTTATTGACCTCCTTAACCTGAGTTCTTTTTGGCTGAAAGCCCTGAAGACTCTTGACTAGCTTGGCCAATAAAATGCTGTCTTTGTGGCAGATTCAATACACAGTACCTTTTGAAGAAGATAAAAAGGAAAGAGGAACTAATTCTGTTCTAAACTCCAGCCTGAGGTCAGTCTCAACCAGTGTTCAACTGAGGAAATGTTTGTTCTTTAGTGCTTCCTCTTTTCTCCCAGCAGAGATCTCCCTCAGGTCTCGCCCAAGATCTAGCTCACTCTGAGAAAAGAATGAGATGTAGTTGAGACCCAAATGAAAGGCCCTATTAGAGCCTAGAAAGAGAGGATTTAAAACAGCTTAGGGGGAATCTCTATGGACAGAGCTCTTTGCAGACATTCAGATTACAGTCCAACAGGATTTTGTTAGGTTTTTAAAAAAGAGGTAACCGAGTAAGAACTGCACCACGCACGTGGTATTCAGGTAAGGGGTTTATTCAGTAGACCTGCTGGGACCAGGCAAGGTTGGCACTCCACGCGGCTCGCAAAGGAAAAGAGAAAGGGCGGCCTGGCCGCGGTTTATTCCTTATATAGGGTAGGGGGTGCGGAAGGGTGTGTCCAGATAAAGGGAAGTGGGGTCAGGTGGGAGAAAGGTGTGGCCACATCAGGTTAAGATGTGACCTCAGCGGATGCGGATGTGACCTCTTCCAGGTGTCCCAGTTGCCTAGGTAACGCAGGTACTGGGCGAGGTCTGTTCGCCGTCCAGGAATGGACCTTACAGATTTAAAAGCTTTAAAAGAACATAATCATCATTATAAAACATTATTTTTCTGTGGGGATGACTACTTGTTAATTTTTTCATAATATATAGGGATATATGTAAAGAACCAAACTACAAGGCCATGAGTTCTATTTTCTGCACTTGAAAGATCTTGTATCACCTTGTATATGAAAATAATTTTTAAAACCGAAAAGCATATATATCTTCATTGTGTACTTTAAAAACTGCCTTTTGGAGATTAAGTGTCAACTTCAAGTAATTTTTTTGAGCCTTATGGACTAAGTGGATGAAAAACCAAATGCCAAGAAGGTCCTGATGCCTCACTTGTAAAACTCACCTTGAAACCCCCCATTCTGAGCTGCTCTGGACAATTACTAAGGCCAGGAAGGTGTTTTCTAATTTCCATGGCTTTCCTCTTTCAGTCTTCACACAAGAACCATATGAAGTAGGTATTGCTAACATCCATGTCTGTTTTATGGATGAGAGGACTTAAAGACCAATGGATATATTAAAGGTGAAACGTAGGCCTCCAATCTAAGCAGCCTCTGACTATGAGACTCATCGTGGGCTGTATACCGAAGTCCTTTGAAACCCCTAAAACGTTAAGTATAGCAGTTGTTAGGGTTATTAACTGTTTTGTTACCTATCTGCTTGACAAAGATGCAGGCAAGGGCCTCTAAACTAGAATCAATTGAAAGAAGTGGAGGTGGGGGAAGGGTGTGGATGCCACAGTGACAAGTCAGGAAAATCACAGCTCAGTCTCCAGGTCTCAGCCCCGCCCCTTCACTCCCCATTCATCCTTTTGTTACTCTGAGATTTCAGCGCTGAGGTTAATAAAGAACTTCCAGAAAACCCATCATTTTGATTAAAGCCGGGGCCTACCTTGCCAGACAGC